AAGGTCAACTCTCTTCCCCAAGCCTTTCTTCACTGCTCTTTCCACGTTGAGGAACTGGTCGGCGAAGACTGGGATTCCGATAATGGGCTTGCCGAAATGAACTGCTTCAGTGGCGGAAAGGAGGCCTCCGTGCGTTATGAAGAGGACGCAGTTCGGATGGGCTGAAATTAAACCATAATCTTTAAATATTAAACATCAATCATCTTACTCAATTTAAGGTTCACTGCTATACGCAAGCATTCCCCAAAAAACATCAATGAGATCCCCGCCATATTTCAATCCAGAGAGATATCCTGCCTTTAACCGATGAAAGGTGTTGTTCTGATGTTAAGACCACGTCTTGGCCAACAATATATTTTTAAAGCAAATAACTTAATGACATAGTAACTAGTAACTGTTTGTCGTGACTTCGTTATTTTTGCTATTGTTTATATCATTGATAAGAGTAAGTGGTACTTATAGCTCAGCTGGTGATAAATTATTAGGCTTGTATATCTGTTACACTGATAAGTTAAAAGTATTATGTCTCATAACATGACTGAGGATTTTTTTATTGTTTATTTTATAGGTCTACCTCTTGTGTTTCTTTTCTTCTCTATCAAAAGTAAACTTACAAAGGATTGCAGGCTGCGGTGCCCACTGCACTATGTGCACATTTTTCGGCAAATCATCCAGTACTTCTTCGAACTTCCACAAGACCGTCTGCTTCAGTGCACCGAAGACTTTGAGAAGGCTCTTCTTGAGTTCCTCTGGCATATCCTTACTGCTTAAGTTGGATCCCATGCTGAAGTATATTACGCCATTTTTAGCACTGTCCAGTAATTTTTTTAGTGTCTGAAAGAGTAATCAGTGGAAATCACATTTTCAGTTTTAGTTTGGTCTTCCTCAGATTGTCATAGAAGAAAAAGAAAAACTTCCAGGTCCAAGAAGTCCCGTTAATCATAAACTTACCTCGGGTAAGGGTTTGAAGTTGGTATCAATGTGGTAACCAGCTACTGCCTTGTAGTTCTGTGGTAGCCTGGTGGCCTGGCCCAAGGATACGTGGGAGTTACCCAGAATCAATGACGCGTTGAATTTCACTTCATCATACGTGGGGACAGGACGACCTCTCATCTTAATTAGGGGTACGTATAATTCTTCGTATGCTTGTCGCTCATATCTGACGAAGATGCTGTAAAGGACAATAGATTATTAGATAACTAATACCTCGTAAGTAATCCTAGGATTCTGTTTTCAGAAAAAAACTTACTAATTCTTCAACACAGTGGTTACCGCAGACATGAACAACTCTTTGACGCGTTGGACAAAGGTGTACGGCGGTAAAACGGTCGACATGAGGCCAGGATTATAAGCTGGGTTCAAGTTCTCGTCGATCAGCTGCATGATTGCAGAGTGAGGATCGACCGATGACACCCAGATGAGGGGGCAGCCGAAGACGGCCGAGAGCCTGGAAAAATGTGAGATATTTTAGGGGGTTTACTGTCAAGCAGATCTGACTGGTTGCTGGTTATAAATCATCAGCAAGTCTAGTCTCGACTATAGCAGGATGACCTTCTAATTTAAAAAAGGCGAGATCTTGCCTATAGAATCTATAGGCGGTCTTATCGCTTTTAAGCCATCTCTTCCAGACAATCTAGAGGATAGATAAAGGCTAATAAACTTTGACTTACACTCCCCATATTGGCCAGATTGGGGCCGTATTGGGAAGGCCTGATGTTCGACATCTACGGGAAGAGCGGGAGTTGCCTTTATCTACTCTGCTAAAACTACAATAATTCATCATCACCAGCATCATTCCAGCCACAGGACGTCCACTGATGAACATAGGCCTCACCTAACGATTTCCATATCCACCTTGTGGGTGGACGTCCTACGCTGCGTTTTCCGGTACGCGGCCTCCACTCAGTCAGTCAGGTCGTCAGTTCTGCGTACTACACTTCAGCTTGCTAATCCGTCAGGCTGTCGTGACTTTAGTTCGTTACTGAGTCGTACACTGATTCATCATCATCATCATCATTTCAGCCACAGGACGTCCACTGCTGAACATAGGCCTCCCCCAATGACTTCCACATCGCACGGTTGGTAGCGGCCTGCATCCAGCGCCTTCCTGCTCTACCTTTATCAGGTCGTCGGTCCACCTTGTGGGTGGACGTCCCACGCTGCGTTTTCCGGTACGTGGCCTCCATTCCAGAACCTTGCTGCCCCATCGGCCGTCAGTTCTGCGTACTATGTGCCCTGCCCACTGCCACTTCAGCTTGCTGATCCGTCGGGCTATGTCAGCGACTTTAGTTCGTTTACGGATCTCCTCATTTCTGATTCGATCTCGTAAAGAAACACCGAGCATAGCCCTCTCCATAGCACGCACTCCATACACTGATTACTCACCCAGAATACAGTTCACTGAATAACCACTCGATCACGACCACGTCGAAGGTCTGCTGAGGGTCGCGCAGCAACTTCTGCACTTCTTCGTTCTGGATCATCGCCTGATGAGTTCCTAAGGTGTAGTTGAAGAAGTTGCTGGGATTGAAGTCCTGCTCATTTTTCATTATTGTCTTGATGTGGGGTTCTGATGGAAAGAAAATTAAGAAGGTAAATTCGTGGTGAAAATCCGAACGGAAGAACTTTCATTTTCAAGAAAGGTAGCATTATTCTAAATGTAAAAAAGTAAAATAATTACTTGGTAGGGCGTCGAAGTCGTATATCATTTTTATTTGCCGTAGCTTTGGATTTGGGCCTTCTTTTATGTATGGAGTAATGTAGGTGACCTGCAAAAATAAACAGTAAGTGTTAGATTCGGCATAGCCAAAGGTCAGTGCGCGAAGAATGCAAGTTTTATTAGGTTTTCTGAATAAAGAAAAATAAAAATAAAACAGACGAATGCTCGGCGCTCGCATCGTAATTCGTAACATGTTACGTCGATTGATACAGATAAACAATAACTATTTATAACAATACTAGATGTCACTCGTGTTGTCGTGATGAATCCGATTTATTACCACTCAGTCAAATGTTACGTCACTTAATACAGAATAGCTTTCCGCCCGCGGCTTCGCCCGCGTGGAATTTTGTCTGTCACAGAAAAACTTTATCGCGCGCGTCCCTGTTTCAAAAACCGGGATAAAAACTATCCTATGTTCTTTCCCGGGACTCAAACTATCTCTATGCCAAATTTCATCAAAATCGGTTGCGAGGTTTAAGCGGGAAAGCGTAACAGACAGACAGACAGACAGACAGACAGACAGAGTTACTTTCGCATTTATAATATTAGTTGGGATATCTCCACTGCTGGAGCACGACTCTCTCTAATTTACCAAAGGCAAGTGGTGGTTTTGGACTACACTCCCCACTCTGGCACGACAGCTTAGGGAGGCACCATTGGCGTATCTAGGGTTTTTTTTCAGGGGGGGTTCGAGGTTAGTATAGCTCAGTCTTTCCCAAAGTGGACGATAACGCCCCCTTGTGGGCGCTGCAGGCTTAAAGGGGGGCGGTAAGAGACCCAGAAAAAAAATCGGGAAGTTGTGTAGAGGCTTAGGAGGCGTCATCTACTAGGAGGACTCTTAGACACCGACTGAGCTCGACTCTTGAGTACAAAAATGGGGGGCGCTAAAAATAATTTATTATCAATGTGGGCAGTAGACTAAATAAGTTTTGGAACCACTGGTATAGCTCATGAGTTAGTACTATCAACTATCATCTTCAAAATCAGTAGCCCAACATCTTGGGGGGCATATTATGCGCATAGGAGGCACGCTGGTCAGACTGGATTGGGAGATAAAATATGCTGTAATAGGTTGTAGAATATAAGTAAAAACCTCATGTCCAGCATTCAGTAGATGCCGCACTACTCCATCCCCCAGGTTTCGATGGCTCTGGGCGGGCATCGGAAACACCACTAGTAGGTATGTTGTACGCCTCGCTGATGTTGAAGCACAGTAGTGCTATTAATGCACATTTTCCAAGGCTATTCATTTTCTGAAAAAGATTAGAAAATAACCTGTTTGATTTGATTTTCTCAGATAAAGTCAGATTTCCTAAGCTCAACTTTATGTGAAGTGAGGAAGGTCATTCATCATCATTAATCATCGTCATCATTAATAAATAAGTAGACAATAAATAAGATTATGATTGAATGAATATCTTCAAAATTAAACAAATTAATAAAAGTTGTAAGTACTTACGTAAATTATTCATAGATGGCACTCTACTTCCTTCTAACGTTCGTGACTAACTCACACGTAAAATCGTTAAGATATGGTTAAATACAACTTATATTTTTATTTATATGAAACGCGAATTNACTATGACACGCGTGTGTGAAATTATCAATGCTTATCATTGCCGTGACAGACACAATGTGCTGTTTTTGTACCTGGTAACCTGATGGCTGGTAATCTACCAAAGATTGCCATAACTTAGAAAAATACAGTAAGTCCACTGAGGACAGAAAAGAAATAATTCGTAGACATCGTAGCCACATGTCGTAGCACACGTGTCGTAGCTGCATTAAATCGTAGATTCGTATTCTATTAAATCGTAGACCTACATCGTAGCTGCATAAAATTGTCGTAGTAGTTCGTAGCGGAGCTACTTATGAACGTCACGATTTTATCGCATTATTATCGTTTTTTAACGAAACATTAATACTAATATGCGTAAAACCGAACCATGCGGCTACCCAGACAATTTCCCATGCACTATACAATTAACTAAATTCGAATTAGAAAAATGATTCGAAAATATAAAAAAGAATTGCACTTTTGCGGTCACAAGTTATCATCCTATAGTAATTTGGATTACCTAATAAAGTAAGTAGATGCTACTGTACCTCTATTTAGGTGTTCTGAATCATAATGCGGCTAAAAAAAAGTGTTCATTCATGTTAGGTAATACGCCATTATGTGATACGACCATTTTTTATCGATAATTGTTATCGACCATCAAACTTCTTCATTGACGACAACGATATGAAGGCAAATAAAAACAAATTATTAAAGATTAAGATATAGTTTAATGGGATTTTCGTAGTTTATTTTTTTTCATATTTAAAAAAATTGGGCTATTTCTGACTCAGAGCTCGCCAATTTATAGAAATAATCACTTTTTTCGCAAGTGTTCAATTTCATGATCATCATTTCAGCAACAGGACGTTCACTGCTGAACATTCACCAATGATTTCCACATCGCGCGGTTGGTAGCGGCCTGCATCCACGGCCTTAACAGCTACCTGTGGACGTCGGTCCACCTTGTGGGTGGACGTCCCACGCTGCGTTTTCTGGTACGTGGCCTCCACTCGAAAACCTTGCAGCCCCGTCACAAGTGTTACTGAACCACGTATCCCATAGAAAAAATATTTATGAATTACTAAAACTAACCTTGACCTCCAATAACAACATGTTGGCTGATGTCGATTGTAGGTGTGTGGTCACTTTCACCCGGTTATTTAAATTTACTTTCACTTTTTTAAACTGGAGTAGATAATACTGCCAAAAATATGCGTGCTCCAACTTAGTATAATGAGAACAAATGTTTGTTTCCTAGTTAAAACCATTCTTAATTACTTACTAGGTAACTATGGATTTAAACACGATACAATTATGCTTTTTACTCAGTAGTGTTTGATTAACTTGTAATCAAAATACCCTGTTTCTCGCTTCCTGTTCATAATTCGGGAACATTTGGAAGTTAGTAAAATAATTTCGCTCGTATATTATTGTTAAAAATCTAGAGGCACAGTAAGACATAAAACAAAGTAACAATTTGATTTAATATGTACACTATTGTAAAAAAATAAATTAATTTATATTCTTACTTAAAACTAATATCACTGGTTTTTCTTCTCCCTGCTCAATCTACTTCTCCTACAACAAATTCGCTTCACAATCAATCTCAAAGCAACAACAACTACAAGGACCAAAGCTACCAGATCCAGGTACATCTTCTGATAGAAGGGCGTGTGTAAAGCGGGAGACCGAAGGTGGGGGGCGCCACCTGTCTTGATGACGTGGGACACCCAGTGCGCCAGCTCCGAGCCAGGGTGCGTAGGGCGGTCGTGGAAGATCAGAGACAGCTCTTTTGCCCTCGTTGTGTAGCTGGAAGGAAGGTTCCATGATAATTTTATGATTAAGAGCCTTTTTACAAGCATTTTTTCCAGGCAGGACATCGTCATTGCTAAATCACTAGGATTTCAGAGGTTTACTACGCTGAAGAGTGGCGCTACTTGTGTCTACCGAACCCCTAGAATAGTACAGAAAATTTTAGTTCCTATTTTGACCACCGTTCTTTTTACGTGTCGCCAGTATACTGGTACTTTCACTCCAATCATGTTATATTTTCAGGACTTACCGTAAGTAGGTATTGCCAAAATTCATCCAAATTGGTTCAGGTTTTGGGGTGAAAACGTAATAGACAGCAAAGTTAGTTCCTTAATTCTGATTTAAGTTCAATATGTTTAAAATACTCTTAATGAGTATGAACTAGAATGAATGACTTATTATTTCATCAAATCTGCTTACCTTGGGTTGGTAGTAACTTCTTTAATCGCGACTTCCAACTCATCAGCCATTGTGTAAGAAAGGTCTACCCTTTTCATGAAGCCCTTCTTCACAGCTCTTTCGACGTTGGTGAACTGGTCTGCAAACACTGGGATCCCAATGGTGGGCTTGCCAAAGTGGACTGCTTCAGCGAAGGAAAGAAGACCACCGTGCGTTATGAACAGGATGCAGTTAGGGTGAGCTGAAATTAAGAGAGTCATTTCGAAGATGTGACAATCAAACTCCTTATTAATATGAACATAGAAGAAAGATGTTACAGAGAATGTTGTTTATATTCTCCCCACTCTCTACATAAGTTCTGCAAAACTAGTGATTTTACTTTATTTAAATAAAGTAAGTCAATATTTTACCGTTTGTTAGGAGGATGCATGTGGAGGAAGATATTGTGATCCACCAAAATATCTAGGTCTTTTGGTAGAAGGCTTGTACGTTACGCTGGACATAGGCCTCCAAGGATTTCAACAACGATCTGCGCTGCCCGCATCCAGGTATTACCTATCTATCTACGTGGTGGTTTCTAAAATTGCTGAAGCTATAAAAGTGGTTTACTTACAAAGTATAGCAGGTTGAGGTGCCCAATGCAATATGTGCACATTTTTCGGCAAGTCTTCAATGGTATCTTCGAACTTCCACAAGACCGTCTGCTTCAGGCCACCGAACATTTTGAGGAGGCTCATCTTCAGCTTCTCTGGCATGTCCTTGCTCTTCAAGTTGGATCCCATGCTGAAGTATATGACGCCGTGTTTAGCATTGTCCAAGATATTTTTAAGATCCTGTAAATGTACAAAGTTAACAAACTGTTATTTGTAGCAATTTTCAGACTTCCAGTTACAAAAAGAAAGAACATACTGATTAAGGATAATGTTATATGTATTTTATCAGTTGTTCATTCTGTGCTGTCTAGGATTTTAATTATGCCGGTCTAGGTACCTAGGTAAACTATAGAGGTCTCCAATTCAAAAACTTGCCTCGGGTAGCGGTTTGAAGTTGGTATCAATGTGATAACCAGCCACTGCCTTGTAGTTCTGCGGCAGCCTGGTGGCCTGGCCCAAGGACACGTGCGAGTTGCCCAGGATCAGCGACACGTTGTATTTGATTTCATCAAATGTCGGGACCGGACGGCCTTTCATTTTTATTACAGGCACAAACATTTCTTCGTACGCTTCTCGCTCGTAGCTCATCAAGAAGCTGTAATGAAAAAATAATTGCCTAAAAATAACATCATGCTTCTTCAAAACAGTTAATACAAAAAGCCCTAAAAAAACTAACTATATGCTTTGTCTAAATTATTTATTAGTTTCTTTACTCGTGTAGCATACCAGCGGTAGTAGAGCGGTACAGGATGATGTACCTAGTCAGATTTTTCTTCAGACATGAATACCGTGACAGCTATTGTTAGGGTCTTACAAGACGTTAGATATAAATTAAAGGCGGACTGTATTTCATAGGTGTAATGATTATAAATATATCGCTAGTTCGCGCCTACGTGGGAGGGCCGCGTCTGACACCGGTGACGGTCGTGAGGCTGAGTGGGCGTCGGGCACGTAGTACGGAGTGTGCCGGCGCCTCGCGCGGAGCCGATGATGGCCGATCGATCTCGATGAAGCCCGAGGACTCGAGAAGCGCCAACAGCTATAATGTCACATTTCACCCCTCTCTCACCGCTCCAATACCGTAGGAAGTGCAGGAACTTTCTCAGTTAGGCTCCACCAAAGCTGAGTTGAGCGGAGAAGTATCAGACCGTCAAATTTTTCTATAGAATTTGGCAGCGGGTGCGGAGCGGAACTGTGCGGAGCGGAGACGAGAAGTGGAGTAATGAAATCTGATTAGTTAAGTATTTAAATACTTTTCATTTCTTTGCTCCGCTCCGCTTTGGTGGAAACCGGGCCTTACGTGTGTAAGGTACGTACGTACTATGCGTGACTTACACATTTTTCAACAACAAACTTGCTCCTAAGAAGAACAGCTCTTTAACGCGCTCCATGAACGTGAACGGTGGTGCGCTACTGGACATAAGGCCAGGGTTGTAGGCCGGGTGCAGACTTTCGTCGACGAGCTGCAAGATCATGGTGTGAGGCTCCACAGATGATAACCAGATAAGGGGGCACCCGTAGACGGCTGCGAACCTGGAAATGGTTTGAATCTACTGAAGAGTTTATGTTTTATTCGTTGGACGCGCTAATCTCAAGAACTACGGGTCTGACTGGAAAAAATCCTTTTGTCTTGAATAAGTAACCCATTTATCGAGGCCGCTACGACCAATAGGGACTACGAAACGTTAGTAGTTAACAAACAAAAACTATTAACTCACCCTGCGTAAATCTCGCTGAACATCCACTCAGCCACGACCACGTCGAAGGTTTCCTTGGGATCATTCAACATCTCTTGCACTTGTGGATTCTGCATCGTCCTTCGACTGAATTCCATGAATAATTCCACCACCTTGAAGGGATTGAAAGGCTCCAACTCATTGTCCAATATCTGTTTGATGTAGTTAACATCATGATCTATAAATAAACATGAAACTTAAGTAGGTACCTAGAAGAACCAAAGTAACCGACATAGTCCGCAGAACTGCCGATTTGGCAATGGGTGAGAACTCAAACTAATTTTAAATAAATAAATAAATAACTTGAAAAAATCGAACTGCCTAAGTCGGGAATCGAACCCACGACCTTTTACTTGCCTTTGTGTAGAACTGATGACCGTTCGCACAGAAATATCTTGTTCTACACTTACGGCCTCGTTTAGGCGTTTAATTTCTAAACACTATTATGCTCTAAGTGAGTATCTCAACGATAAATTACTAGGCTCTAACTTCTAACATCTTTCGGTTGATCTAGGGTGGTCCTCCTCTCTCCTAATTGCCGTGCCCTACAGGGCCCATAATGTTCTAATTTTAAGTACATAATGGATGCAATAAAATATTGAGTATTGAGTATTGAGTATAGGCTAGTTTCCTAAAAAAATTTTTTTAGTCCGTCAATTTTAATAATAAAAATATTGGACACGTATGTTTTTAATTGTCAATCAAACAAATAATTACAAAGTTATAGTGCGTTGAAGTTCCGCGCGACGTCACAAAGTGCTGCACTTTTATGCACTTACTGACGTCACAGGCCTTTTCTTTAGAACTTTGGCACGCTTTATCTCTTTACATTTTCATTAGTTTTAAAAAGTGAAAAATACGTGTCGGGTAGTTTTTGATAAGCTAACTGACGTACTAATTAAAACTCTTGCTTTTTTACCCAGCAAAACATCCCTATTATTAAAATTATATTAAAATTGGTTTTCTACTTTACCTATTTTATCTGAGACTTTAATTTGCCGTAGCTTTGGGTCCGGGTTATCTTTCGGGAATGGAGTTATGAATGTGACCTGTAAATTCAACAAATTAATGACTAAACATAGGTTGTATTGGAATCGTTTTAGTATGCGAATGTTGAAATCCACTCTAAGAATATCTTGGAGTGTTGAAAATTACAAAAAAAAACATTTTTACGCTTAATCGAATTAACTTATGGTACTTTGGTTTGAAACCAAAAGCAGTCTGTCTTCTTTTAGGGATATCGCTAAGTCGTTGATTAGTATCAAGATCGCCCCCTGATAGAGTTTGCGTAACGGCCTACATTAATTCAGCCACTCTATAGTCTCTTTTTTAGCAGTTTTAAAATATTTAAAGCACAAACCTCGTGTCCAGCATTCAGCAGATGCCTGACCACTCCTTCTCCCAGGATGCCGTGACTCTTGCTCGCCATGGGAAACACCACCAAGATCTTGTACGCTTCGCAGGCGGTCAGGCACAAAAGTGCACTGAGGACGAATTTGTAGAGGTGATGCATGTTCTGAAATTATTAATATTTGATAAAATCAACTAAAACAAATACTTATGATCATGTTACCAAATGTTACCGATGTTTTATTTTATTGTACTGAAAATATCGAATCCGCGACCTCTGGGATGATAGTCCGGCACGCGAACCACTAAGCTAGACGACCTTTTTATTTTACAATTGGAGACATCTTATTTCGCACTAGACTGGACATTTGTATGAATTACAATTTGTTAATTAAATTAATAAATCAATTAAGAACGAATATTAAAAAGTGTACTCACATAAATCACACGTCTCTTTATTGCTCCATGTAAAACTATAATGCCCCAAACAGAGACAATTTTCTATCTACAAAGTAACTAATCACTAAACATTGAGTTTATCAGTTACTCTTTACAAAGTCACGATGACACGATAATTTACTAAATTCTTATATTATTAGATTATGCTAGGTCAGGATGACTTGGCCTTTGTCATAATCGGATATGGAATCTATAGCCCATGAACATAGCAACATCTAATGCAGAGAGTTAATATGACAACAAACTTCGAACTAGATTAAATTCGTTGTGGGTTTCAAGAGTCAGCTATCCCCAGAACGGTAGGTACTTACTTATCTACTCAACCTGTAATGGGAAACTCATTGGGGCTTAAACTGAAGATCCTGGCTAAGTATAGCTACTGAAATTAGCCCCGTACCTACTAAGTACCTTACTAACCTAGGCTTATGAACCGCGGATTTAGTATCCGCGGTTCCTAAACATGAAGAACGAAATCTTGCTCCGGTTTCGGTTCATAAATCAAATTACGCTCAATTGAGTCATTCCCTCGTCAGCTGACTTTATCAGCTACGCATGAAAAATATTTCCGAAAATTAATCCCGTTGAAGTTAATAAAAGTTATCTGAAGTATCAAATGACAAGTACCTTGATTATACTTTCGCTATTAATTAAACGATCAAGTACTTTAGTTCCTATAAAATGGGCTAGTATCAAAGGGGTAGTGTTATTGAAATTAATCGGTGGTAGAGTTCAGATCAAAATGAAAGCGTTTTTCGTGCTTTGCCTGGCTACCTTAGTCTACTCTAAAAGCTTCGTGGGTCGTCCGAAGACACAAAGTAAGTTGGTAATTCTAGGCATTTAAAACCGCTAATTGAGTGAATTTAAAAATATATAACACCACTTAAATGTGAAATATTCCAGATGTAAAAAGATGCGTCAATGTGTGGGATGAAGGTTGTATCAACGGCCAGTTAAATGGAGCTGGTAAGTCGATACATGTTTTCCTCACTATTGGTTGTGCTCTTTTTGGACTTATCACCCGATGCATTACTTTAGTACAACATAGTAGAGATGGGTAGTGGGTAAAAACCCATTTCACCCGATTGGGTTTAAACTGGGTGATTTGGGTAAAAACCCGGTTTTTACCCATTATCACCCATTCTGGTGGGTGAAAACAAAAATAGCGTTTTTTTAAAGTGAGAAGTGGTATTTGTTGCTAAGGGGGCGTTCTAGTGTTACGTAATGCAATCTGGGGGGAGAGGAGGTCTTGAAAAACGTTACAATTCGTTACAGTGGCGGAAGGGCGGTTCGATTTCAAGTTTTTAAGCAGAAGTACTTTGTAGTTGGTGTTGTTATTTGTAACTTTATACCGTAATGTCATCAAAGAGAGAGTTTGGCATCTTTGGCATCCCCTCCCTCCCCCCCTCCATGTCCTTGCCATGATCACAAATTATTGTGTTCCTACTAAATTTCTTCTAAATCGGTTCAACGATTCTTGAAATAACACCATTTTATAAAATAATTGGTCACATCATCATAACGTGATCAATTTTACGATTTGGCCACGATATAAATGCATATTAGTGTTAAATTTGATTTATTACTTATTAATCAATAAACTTAAATGAGAAAAATTCAATAAAAATAAAGAAAAGATACCAATTGAAATAATTATAAAATTATTTGTTTTCACCCGGTGTAAACACCCACGGGTGGAATGAAACGGGTTTTTATTGGGTTTTTACCCTCATGTGGGTTTTTACCCGGGTGGAAACCCATCTCTACAACATAGGTACTTGGCTCTCTTTCCTTAACTACCCACTAAAGCATTATACAGTTTAGACTGGATGTATCTACCCTGTGTCTCTACCGCTTGGTCTTATTAAAACCCAACCCAAGTAAAAAAGTAGGCTTACGCTCGTTTTCACCATCAATCCCTAATCTGACCCCTATGGAAACAAAATTCCTGTTTGTGTTACCATAGGGGTCACTTAAAAATTAGGGATTGATGGTGAAAACGGGCATTAGACCGTTTAGGATCCTCAGGGCAAGTAGGTTTCAACTTCATACGATTTGATTTCATTTTCATGGATAGTTTCGCGTAGTAGCAATGATTATAAACGTTCTTATATTGTTGCAGGTAGCGACGACAATTTCCTAAACGGAGGGTTCAACCCGGGCAAGCGATGCGTCAACATGTGGGACGAGGGTTGCATCAACGGACAACTTGGTGGAGCTGGTATAGTACACACTTTTTTGTGACTGGAAAGACTTTTATAATGTTCGATCGTCTGGTCTGGTAATATGAAGAAACTTCTAACGTGTCGCGCTTGTATACTAGATTCCTATAATGTACAAGTTATGTACCTACACTTATAGGCTTGTGTGACTATTATAGCTTGTATCTTTTCCATTAAAAAGGTGGTGATGACAATTTCTTGAATGGCGGCTTCAACCCGGGCAAGCGATGTGTCAACATGTGGGACGAGGGCTGCATCAACGGACAACTTGGTGGAGCTGGTATGGTACCAACTTTTTTGTGACTAGATAAAAGAATTAGCATAACGTTTACAGCTAGAAACCACATAGAAACGCCTGTCTGGTCTGCTGGGTGGTACGAATATTAACTCGTATGAAGGAACTCTAACGTGTCGCGCTTGTAGATTAGACTCCAATAATTTGTGTAGCTACTTACTCGTACTTATGTTATCTACACCCTCAGATCATAGATGGGAATGAAAGGGAATTTATTCCCTTCTATGATCTGAGTCTACACCCATGGGCTTGTATGACCATAGCTTGTCTCTTTTCCATTAAAAAGGTGGTGATGACAACTTCTTAAATGGAGGTTTCAACCCGGGCAAGCGATGCGTCAACATGTGGGACGAAGGTTGCATTAACGGACAACTTGGTGGAGCTGGTAAGGATTGTTCAATGTTACCGTTTAACATTTGTAAATGGAAAGGACGAAGTTAAATACCTACTTCATTCATTGTCATACACATTGCTACGTAAGGGGATCTTAATGCCATAAGGCACTTTTCTGCCAGTTAACCTTTTCGGGTTAAACAGAAAAATAAAATGTTTGGCGATGCTTTAAAAAGCAAAAGAAAATTAAGCTTAGTGCTCACGCTTCAGGTGGTGATGACAACTTTTTGAACGGCGGGTTCAACCCGGGCAAGCGATGCGTCAACATGTGGGACGAGGGTTGCATCAACGGACAACTTGGTGGAGCTGGTAAAATTTTTGCATTGACTTAGTTACATGTATTTCTTTGAAGTTAACGTTAATTTGAATGTAGAGTCAAAAAATGGGCTAAATAAAGCTTACAGTGTCCGAGCTTTGCTTGATAAAACTTGCACCTTCTCAATAAGACAGGTCCCATAGTAGTACGAGTCCATCTATCGACACAATGAAAACACTGTTCCAAACAAATGGTCCGATCAACTGGCTGGAGTCGTAATAAACCTATTTCGGTCGCATCAAGTGTCGCACTAGTTAACAGGTCAAGATTGGACCTTCAATCACAATTTAGTATCTTTTTTCCGTCTCTTCCGGGCACTCAGTAACATATGATGGGAATGATGACATTGATGCGTATTAGGAAAACGCCTGCTTTTCTTGCGATTGATACTGTTTTTGGGACAGCCTGTATATTCTGTATACATTTACTTATTGCGTCGCTCTAGCTAGACACAAAATAATGTCTAATTTTGCATTGTCCAATAGGTGGCGATGACAACTTCCTAAATGGCGGCTTTAACCCCGGCAAGAGATCTCTACAACTACACGACCTCCTCGTAAAGTTACAGAAGTTGCACAAGAAGAATTAAAACTGAATCAGCCTGCAAAGCTTTGGAAACTTTAAACTTCTTCTATTTAAGTTTATTTTTCAATGTTTTAAGTTTATCAATCTCTCGCCTCTTTTAAATTTAAGAGGAGGGAAGAGATAAATTTTTCAATTCAAAGTTTTGTAGGCAAACACCAAACGCAAACTATATTGTCTAGTCTCATCTTTGTAAACAAATAAACATTAAAATTTAAACATAACCGCTTTTTCTTCTTCTGTAAACATTATGGGAAATTCGTAAAGAAAACAAAGCATAAAATTAATAATACGTTTATTAGACGATGTAAACACTAGGTACCTTCCGCACCTTCACATAAAACAATATAATACAAAAATATTTCAAATTCTCTCTTTTGCAGCACGTTGCAATTTTATTGCTACATTTTCTACTAAATTCCAAATCTATCAACTAGGACAATAACACAAACTAATTCTAAGGTTATTTCATTAAAAAATGGCTGAAATGGACGATATAAGGCAATCGTTAATGAGGTTTGATGCTTGGCAAGTATTATACAAGTCTTTTAGTAAACTCTTTTACCACTTATAGCTTTAAGAAAGACATAAAAGTTAGTTACAAAGACACCAGAAGTCTTGGTCAATGTCATTTAAGCCACTAGCACACTGGTGACGTAGAGGTTCGACGTAATTAAAACAAAGATAAAAGATATTGCCCAACTATATCGATAGTTTGACTATCAATGGAAAATATTGAAACTCCATTACAAAATCGATAGTCCTTTGGACGAAACTATCTATCGCTTACTAGCTATATTCACATAGCGCTCGTCGCTCACGTCGCGTAACCATCACGCCAGTAATGTGCCAGGCTTAAACAACATAAATCACAACGGCAATATTTAAATCACAAGTTATACATATAAAAGCTGCAATACATATTATATTGGGACAAACAAATACTAAGTATAATAATTATCACAACAAAACCAGCGGTGGGCGAAGCATTGTACTTAATTAGGCAAACATTGATTGTATTAAAAATAATAAATGGCTGGTTCATATTTTACTACACTATAATTCAATTTATTGTCATTATAATTACATAATGTATATTTATTTTATCAACAATCATTTTACTTATTGCTATCACAGTTGTAACTATGTAAATAGAGCCAGGTTTACAGTAACTTTTAAGTTACATAATTTAAAATTTTAAAACATTACATTTAAAGACAATGATAAAAGGAATTCAATTGAATACATGATAAGTTTTTTAGATTTCTCTATGAGTCACATTAAAATTTATTGAATATTTATTCAATTGACATAGTTATATACAAAGTTTATTTTCAAACATTAAAAAGAAATAATCATTTCCTTGAAGTTATTGGGGTAGGTTTAATGAAAAATTATTTACTTAAGGAGAGATCATTCTCAATTTTCATATACCTACTGAAGCATAATATCTTTCTGTTTGCAAGAAGGCTGATATTGTTTTTGTTCAACATAAGGATTTATTCACAAATTATTCTAATTGGCTGTAATAAATAGCAGCCTACCATAAGTACCATTGCTAACTAAGAGATTAAATAATATAATAAAAGTTGCCTTAAAATAAAGTTAGTAAAACAAAGATTCAAGAATCCTTTGAATTCTAGGAATTCAGAACACATTATAAACTGGTAGAATAAAAACTTAAACTAGTTATTTTGTCCGTGCCAATGGTCCTGGGAGTATGGGGGCAATTCCATAGGCATTTTGTTGTACACATTATTTACACTTGGCACTGGATTGGCAGGTGGAGGCTTCTGAGCATTCGCTTGTCTAAACTTTGTTGAGTATTTGTAAAAATCTGACATTTCAAACGGTTTTGTCTCCTCTCTATACGGTATACATTTGCCCTGCTCTATAACTGTCAAATTTTTCGGAGAATCAAGTGATACAGCACTCGGAGACAAAACAGGCGGACTATGAGGCACTTGGTTAGGACTCTGCATCGCAGAATGTCTACCCGATGAGATCATTATCTCGTAAGCTTGAGAGTTCCCTATACTAGAAGTCCTTTTTAAGCTCGATGACTTTTTCAAGAGAGGAGCTTCTGATTTCGTTGGCGAATCTAAAGATGTTTCGTACCATTGTTTTTCCTTCACTTTCAGGTCATTTTGAGAGAGTGGTGAAAACTTGTTCATACTCACAGTATCGAAGTTTGATTGGGAGTACCCTGAGAGCTGGCTCACTGGGCTCATGGCATCAGGGTACGCACGCCTATCGTCTCGAGTGTAGTCATCAGTTGAAACTTGCAGTTGCTGCATATGCACCGGGTTTCTAATAACATTACGTTCCCGCAATGGCAGTGTGTTGGGCACGGTTGCAACTCTCTCTATAGGTAAATGCAATCTATCAGATTGTTCCTGGATATCCGGTTGAGATCTGTGTTGGTACGCTGACATTGGAGGCCGGTAATTGTCAGTTATATTTTCTAGATGGTGATTATAGTCGCTGTGGGAGGTGAGATGATAAGTTTGGGTTCTCTGTAAAGTATTTCTGCGGACGGCTTCTGGTCTCCGTTTGGTCTGTCCCTGCATTTGATGATGGTGCAGAGCGCTCAGGTGTTGATTCTGACCTTTTAAGTGGGATGCATATTGATACAGCAACGGTATATTACGCATGCCATTCGGAACTGGGTGAGGAGCAACACTGCCATGAGTGTGATGGGTGGTAATGTCAGGATGGCTAGAACTAAAGTGGGTTTCTCTTAATCGGGAAACATTATGAGCATCTGGAGCACCATTGTAGTATATCTTATTCATATATTCAGTCGTCATTGTATGGTGTCTATGCATGGGCCCTTGCAGATCATTGTGCATATTTTCTGGTGTAGGCTCATGACGACCTGCTAAAGCAGGATATGTGTGCGACGTGTGAATAGAAAACGTATCTGCGTTTCGATCCTGAGGCGGCGAAGGGAAGAAATTGGAACAGCTCGTTTCTGGACGCCTCATGTGTCGTGAGTGAGAACTTTTAGTCGAAATACCCGATATGGAGGGAGTGGATAGTCTGTGTGTAAGGTTTTTGCGTGCATTCTGATCGCTATCGAGCATGCGGTCCCCAGTACCGGCTCGCAGGCGACGAGACGATGTGTCGGAGCCGTCGTGGACATCGTTCCCATCTGTAGATCTATCGATACTTTTCACACTCCCGAGTCTTTCACGCTGCGGTACTTCTGGGCTCAAAGGCGCCTCAGGGGGCATAATACCCGTCAGCTGAACTTCTTGGACGCACAACTTGTATAGCTCCTCATTTTTGGCTGCGAGCATTTGCTCCAATTCCTTCTTACGAGCTTGAAGCTTCAGAAGCTTATCCTGCTTATCTGAGTGCAAATCGCTACCCATTGTGCTTGTACCCATATTCAAAACGTAGTCCAAAACAAATAAACCATGAGTTTGAAGAATAGTTACGAAAATAAATAAGAAAAGTCAATAAAAGTAAAATAAACAAAGAAAATTAAATTCTTCGACACTGACACATACACGACATCCGCGCCCATGTTTAAAAAAAAAGAAATAGTGATGCTACCATTTATTTACAGTCGAATATCGGTCCACCAAAGGTTTTAAACGCAAATCAGATAGGATCGATATATAAATCGAACCAAAAAAACAAAATTCAGCTAACAATGGTGTTTTGTCTTACACAATCAACATAACATTTGACGCTATCGGGTAAACATCTCAACAATCAATAAAATTGCCTACAAAAATGTTTGAATGTTTTTGCTGATTTTGTAGGGCAAAACACGTGCTGCATATGCTGCTAAAGATGAGTAAAAAGTATGTTTTTCTTTCTAGTTTTTGTTTGTTGATTTTTTTAACAAATAAATAATTGCAAATTTTGTCGTATGTATAAATACCGTTATCGTTATAAGATGTGTGGGCAGAATAGACCCCCGTCCCATACTTGTCAATGTCAGCCGTCAAGTTCACACGTCATTTTCCTTATCAATCGCTTATCAAATCAACCAGTCTCGTCACGGCCGATTCGAGTGGAGATGTAAATTCTTATTATTTGAAGAACCTAAATTAGTAGTTCCACTCTTACATAACCCTCCAGTGTCCAGTTCCACAAGCTTTCATCCAGCAAAATGTCGAAAGTGTACAAATTAGCCGTCACAGCTGCCGACAGATTCGTCCCCTCCAAACTACGTCCGCTATGGGAGCATGAAGCTGGTAAATTTAAGACGCAATTACTTTAACTTAATGTCCATAAATAGATCATACTACCTTAAACTACCTATTCACTATGTATTCCAGGTCCGAAAACCATATTCTTCTGGGCCCCTGCCTTCAAATGGGTAAGTAACATTTGCAATGCGGATATCTTCAAGGTCAGGCTATTATTACCCCGGGACCTTGCTAAGGGCAACAAACAGTAACGGCTGCTGCCACAATTAATTCTTATTTAAATACATCATAATATAGAACACGTTTTGTCGTGACCAAGAATATAAATTAATTATGCATGTGCATCTGAAATTAAATGCATCAAAATTTTGTATGGGCTTAGTTTCCAATATAAATAATTTGAACGAGCATGTTTGGATTTTCTGATGCTCTGAAAAAAGAAGATAAAAAAATTTCAAACATTCAAAAACTTAACTGATACTGATCATGCATAACATTATTTGGTTGTATGGATATCATTGATTGTGAATGTTTTTAATCATCATCATAATATCATATCAAACTAGGGAAAATATTTAATTTAAAACCTCTTTATGTTATGCATCAATTATAAAACAATTTTTATTGTATCCAGATATTTTACTTGACACAAACTAAATAGATAACTAAAATTAATTTTGTGTTACATTCTCCCTTCATAAAAAAAAACAATCCTATAACATCATTTGTTATTGTTACATTTTCCCTCCTTTGATGTACTCTAATACCCCTTATTCATAAAAACACACCACTAGCTTCTATTTTATCCAGTGGCGTAGCTTGGGGGGGGCAGGGGGGGCCATGGCCCCGGGCGGCATATGAAAGGGGGCGGCGGATAAGAAAAAAAACATTGCATGAACAAGAAAAAAAAGGTCGACTATGTCTACGTTGAGACTAACAAATCTAGCTATACTGGCAATTGAAAATAAGATACAATTTGATATCGACGATTGTGTAAAAGATTTTGCTTTGAAAAAAGCACGAAGAGTACATTTTTAATCTACTTTTTTAAGTAATAGTAACAAAAATATTTAAGGAGCTTACTTACCCCTCTAAAACTTGCGCCACAGATAATCTTTCGTGATTTCTCTTGTAACCGAAATAAAAAAGTGGTTTGTAAATAGTTAAAGCCATATCTAAGCTACTTTTAAAACCGTGTATTTATTATATTCTGCAAGTTCGAAATTCAAAATTAGCTAAAATGGTAACTTTTAGCAGTAATTAAATATGTAACTTGCTGCAAATATCTAATGAATTCAAACAAATTATTTTAAAAAATAGCTTCGATACATATTATACATTTTTCAAACCACTTTTTTAATTTCGGTCTATAACAAAAGTAATCAAGAAAAAATATGGTGGCGCTGGTTAGCTAGGGTACAACCCTTAATAATATTAAGCACAGTCATATGTTATTCGTTCTAAGTTCAATGAGCACTATACATATATAATTTAAGATAATATTTACTCTCAATTGACAAATAAATACTTTAATACTTGATATTATTGTTTATTGTTATACACCTAGTGTTACATAATAAAGCTGAGCTATTTAAGAAAATCAAACTTCCTGTGGGTTTCCAGCAATTGCTTCTCTTTAATGTATTTTCCTTCTGAAGCAGTGCGTGGTAGTTTATTTTGACTTTCAACAAATAAGGTGAATAGTGTACCTGAAGTCCATTCAATAATATTTAAACTTTAAAATATTTATAATTAAAATAAAGGGCGGCGGATTTCCGGACGGCCCCGGGCGGCGAAAAGCCACGCTACGCCACTGATTTTATCCCCATTCATCTCTAGCAGTGATTAGATGCCCATGAGATGTTAAAAGTATAAATGTGAGCCAAAGTGGTTTCATATGTTTTTATTAATAAGGGGCTGGTCACCAGGTGTGTTTCTCATTCATCATCTTAACACTTTCAGGGTTTGGTGATAGCTGGGTTGGGTGACTTGAATCGGCCTGTCGAGACTTTGTCCATACCCCAGTCCGCGTCCCTAGCAGCCACCGGACTCGTCTGGTCCCGGTACTCCCTTGTAATCATCCCAAAGAACTACAGTTTGTTTGCGGTCAATGTGTTCGTAGCTATAACCAATTTATACCAGATAGGTAGGGCATTCAAACACCAGCAGTCTCTGAAAAATAAACAAGCCTAAAGCTATCATACGATTTTGGTTGCTGTTCGCTTATTATCTGTTGATTGTTAAGAATTTAGCGCAAAATGGTTAGGTATAGTGCCAAAATTTGTTATAAGGCATTGAAATATATTTATAATAGCACCAAAATCGTATGTAGCCAGCACTACACTTAGATTATAAAGGGGATAGACAATTTTGTTAAATATTGTGTAGGCTAGAAAATCAATCTCAATGGGTATTTAAAGTAAGTGTCTTATTTATTTTTAGAATACAAACCACTTATACACGCGCTCAAGTAGCACACTTTTATAAAAATGTGGTTTTAGCGTAATACCAACTTGTACTGTTTTTCGATAGGAGATTTCTTTGGGCACAATTTTTTCGGAAACCTTGAATTTAACAATTTGTGAACTATATTTCGTTAGTATATTAACGAAAACTAAGAAAAATTGTTTAGATAGAGTTAATGATTATAGCGTCATTCGTCCAATATTGCGCGAATTATATCGCGCAGGCCCATTATTGATTAATGCTAATCTATCGAAACATATTTCGGACTAAATTACGTAGTATTAAATTTGAGACTCAAATTGTTAACGTTTTTGCTAAAAGTAACGTGATAAATAGATAGGTATTCGCTCTACTTATATTGTATTACACTAAAAGGGGGAATTATAAAACAGTAACATTTAGTTATCTTGTTTTAAAAACAAATACCCCGTCTCTTCAATCAGCCTCATCAACCTGGGTTTAATATAGTAAAAGTAGGTAGAGCTAATTTATAAAATCGTATTTATCACGGCTTTTCTAAATTCTAAGAAGTTATTTAATTTATTCGGTGCTCTAAATTAAGGTGTAAGTGGTTGTTCCATGCTATTGTGATATGATACGTAAGGACATCAAGTTTATGATGATAGTTTGTGCCCGATGCAAGAAAAGAATTCTATTAAGAGATTTTTCTAAGGGTTGGAAACTTTATTTGGTCTAAAAACTAAAGACCTAGAAAAAAAGTTATTTTAAATTGAGGCCTAATTTTATACATTGCCGGAAAGAAAAACATGAATGTATCAATGTAATGTTAAATCTTAATTACACAGGCCGAGTTTTAATAAGTATAGGTACTTAACTGTTTAAAATTGGCCCTGAATTCAGCCTTCTGTCTATATTCTCATATTTTTTCTTTTCTTGCATCGTATATAAATATAAAAACAGTGTAGGTAATTCTAGTAACATGTAGAGATGGGTTTCCACCCGGGTAAAAACCCTCATGAGGGTAAAAACCCAATAAAAACCCGTTTCATTCCACCCGTGGGTGTTTACACCGGGTGAAAACAAATAATTTTATAATTATTTCAATTAGTATCTTTTCTTTATTTTTATTGAATTTTTCTCATTTAAGTTTATTGATTAATAAGTAATAAGTCAAATTTAACACCAATATGCATTTATATCGTGGCAAAATCGTAAAATTGATCACGTTATGATGATGTGACCAATTATTTTATAAAATGGTGTTATTTCAAGAATCGTTGAACCAATTTAGAAGAAATTTAGTAGGAACACAATAATTTGTGATCATGGCAAGGACATGGAGGGGGGGGGGCTCTCTTTGATGACATTACGGTATAAAGTTACAAATAACAACACCAACTACAAAGTACTTCTACTTAAAAACTTGAAATCGAACCGCCCTTCCGCCACTGTAACGCATTGTAACGTTTTTCAAGACCTCCTCTCCCCCCAGATTGCATTACGTAACACTAGAACGCCCCCTTAGCAACAAATTCCACTTCTCACTTAAAAAAAACGCTATTTTTGTTTTCACCCACCAGAATGGGTGATAATGGGTAAAAACCGGGTTTTTACCCAAATCACCCAGTTTTAACCCAATCGGGTGAAATGGGTTTTTACCCACTACCCATCTCTAGTAACATGCGGGTATACAAAACATACCTTTGTAAATCAAATGACACATTAAAATATATATTTTGTAAAAATATTGTTTATTTTTGTAATACCTTTTACAAGTGCAAAATATATTTATTATTTAATGACATTATTCTCTTATTTCTTCCTCGTTTCTTCTAAGACTTCCTTGTTCATTGCTTTTTTTAACTAAATCATTTTGGGTTTCTACTAATTAGTGACGTTTTTCTAACTCGGTTTTAATGTGAATCTGTTAATCTTTTCACTTCTG